AGAAAGAAAGAAAGAAAGAAAGAAAGAAAGAAAGAAAGAAAGAAAGAAAGAAAGAAAGAAGAAAGAAAGAAAGAAAGAAAGAAAGAAAGAAAGAATAACATTTACATGTAAATAAATAGGTGAAGAAATTTTCTGTCCCCTCTGCCTCAATCACCCCTGCCTTTTAACAGTTGGGCCAGTTGCTGATACATGGCCTGCCAGGAGTTCATTCCAGATGGGTAGTTCCAGGATCCAGCTGTTACTTCTTCAGGGATAAAAGTTTGAAGCTGTCATCTAGGATGGACCTTCTGTTACGCCTCAGTTTCCTCTGTCGATGCTGGTACCAGACCACACCACCAAGAGCCACAGCAATGAGAAGCAGAACGATGCCCATGGCAATCAAAACAGAAGCCAGCATCTCAACATCCTTCACAGGGATCTGCAGGCCTAGCACATTCACATTGCCTTTTTCAATATTTCTGGGTATTGCTGCTGAAATGGAACAAGAGGAAAATTAGCACCCTAAGAGTACTCTAAAGTGGAACATGTGAAGTATTTTGGGAGAGGAGAAATAAGTCCTTCTAAATATGAAAGAGGCATTGTCTCAGTTCCTCAAAAGACCAGGTGATAAATACAGACTCAGAGGTTATAGAGAATCAGTATAACAAGGCAACATAGTTGAGAAATCCATAGGATTTATTTCTATGGAAACAGCTAGATTCAGAGTAGAGAGTGCCTTCTTATATAAAGGTGTATGAGATAGAAAAAAGAACTGGGCTTGGTTTGCATGGTCCAGAGGGCAAAATGTGGAGAATCAAGTGAAATTCCAGGAAGCAGTTTGACTTAATCAACTACATAATTCATCAATGCACACTTTGATCATCAGACCATGAAAATAGTTTGTCTGGTCTCTTGTTTCTTTGGGTCATGATTTGTCACTGAAGTGACGAATCATTTTAGGTGGGTCTCATTGTCTCAGTTGTTCACATAAAAACCTGATGAAATTCTATTAATGCATGGATTAAAGCTCAGACTCGAAAGCAGCATTTCAACTCTCATAATCAGATTATTACTTATTATAAAAATTACTTATAATTTACTGTTTGAGTTTTATTTACTACTTTCAGTCATTGCAAATAATTCTTTGTTCCCTGGATAGATTATCATAATTAAGACTGCCAAGACATTATCATGCTGCTCCCTTTGCCCTAACAGTCTTTTTAATTCCTCTGTACTTTTCTATCCCCATTACACATCTCTGTAAATCTATCCTTAATGCATCTAGTATGTTAATCTCTGTATTCCTTAAATATCAATACTTTTTGTACTTCCACAATTTGCTTGCTTGGGCCAAGTGATCTAATCCTCCCTCACTCTTGACTCAGTAAAATGTGTATAATAATCATACATAACTAATAGGTTAGTTAGGTTATCATGAAGTTTAAGTGGATTAATATTTATAATTTATAAAATATTAATCATAGTGCCTGGAAGTTAAGTAACACAGTACTTGATAAGTGATTATTTTTTGCTTTTGTCTTTTATACAATATATAATATCCAGAATGATAATTATTTCCGTGTGTCATTACATTTCTAAAAATGAATATTCTAGAAAGCAGTGTTATATCTTGTTTCAATGTCTTTCCCTCGCACCTAGCACATGATTGATAAATGTATATAAAATTGAGTAAGAATGAAATGTAAAAATTTTAATGGAAGCAAGAAAGCATCTGGTTCTGAGTTTACTATCTACCCCTCATCTCATGTTTCTCATTACTGGGTTTTACTAGATAAACAGTTTTTAGGGTTCTTTCCAAATTCAGATTTTTTTTTTAGCAAGCAGGATCTTATGAACATGCAGGTATTTACACACCAATATGAATATATGAATATATAAATATAAGAACAGAGTATGTATATACATATCTCTGTGTGTGTGGCTTTCCACCTTCTCAGCCTCACCTTATCACTCCCAGTCCTTCCAATACATATTCTTAAGACTTCTCCAAACACAGCAGAAAAAACATCCAGACTACACTGACTTTCTGAATATTTAATACTCCAAGGAAAATAATGTGAAGATTGAAAGTGCTGTTTTGGGCCTATGCTTGATAAAGCAAGAATTTCTATTTTATTGAAAGGAGTAAATAGGTGGTTCTTAAGATTGGTTTTCCATAGATACATCAATAAAAATAATTGGTGCACTGTGGTATTTGTTTTAGTGCCACACTATCCCTATGAGGAATTGTTTGATACAGCTCATGTATGCCTAAATGCAGTAAGTCTGTGAATTTTTGTCTCCTTTATACATTAGGTTGGAGGTTAAGATAACAGCCTTTGACTGGGAATAATGCATATTTTCCCTACACAAAAGGTTAGAGGTAGGGACCAAAAATACTAACCTTTAGACGGAAGTTGTGCCTTTGGTTCCTTTCTTTTGAAATTACAGGGCTCTTCTCACTGACATTGTGGCCCAAACCTTGGTCATTCTTGTGAATCCCATTTTCTAGAGTAACTGAACCTCCCCCAAACCCCAATGTGTGTATATTTTCCATACCTTTTTCAATCTCTTTGGTTATGGTAGGGATAGTGCTTACATTTTCTGGAAGAAAACACAAGAAATTAGTTTTGTTATTCTTCCTGTATTATCAATCCACAGGCTCACTGTGTGAGGTTGACATTGCTTGGGGAAATTTCTGTTTATAGTTAGAAAAATGAAGTTTTCTGGAGTTAAGTACATTATGGTCAAAGTATCAGTATTTACATTTGATTTTGTAAGTCATAGACATATGAATCAAAAATGTAAGTCCTTTTCTGCTATTATTTACATATTTATTGATACTTCTGTCCCCATTATTGCTCTTCTTGATATTTTTTTCACACTCCCTTCAGAAAAGCCCTATTTCTTTTCAAACCTACACCCCTATAACCTATTTTCAGGAAATTTCTCCTCTTCTGCCCATTTTAATAAGGCTGAACTTTTCTCTAGGGACAATTATAATTTAACACTTTAAATACTATGTATAGATATGACTCTTTGCCTTTTTTAAAAGATTTATTTCTTTTTGGAAATGTTGATGACATTTGGTCAGAAAAGCCACAACCACTTCACTTCTTGTCGTTTCTCTTAGGTCAGATTAGTCTTCAGTAACTGCCTCAATCTTCTTCCTAAATACCCACCATGGGTGTAAACCCACCCAGTGTTCAATCCTCAGAGTTTTTGGATCACTCAACTCTAACATATCCTCTCTAATTCTACAATCTACTCCCTTAGTCAAAATGAATTTGTTATGGAACACTGCTCTTTCTCAGAAATATAAAATCAAGCAACACGTTCTCTTTTGTCTTTTCAATTCTGTAATTCAACATATCCCATTTTACTCTTATTCCCCTGTCCTGAAGAACCCTTACATATTTCTCAAATTATTACCTTCAACCTGCCTTTTCTTTCATTCCTGGCTAGGCAAGACTCCATGTTCTATCATTTCAACCACTAACTTACCAGAAACTTTATAATCAGCTACTGAAACCCAAATAATTATCTATCTCCTGCATTTGTCTTATATGCTGAATATTGGTCAGAAAAATATCACACAATTGCAAAGATCAATGTTCTTTCATCCAACATTAACTAAGCCCTCAATGTACTCAAATAATAATTTCTCATGATTCAAATAAATATTTGTCTTATCAGATTTTTTTTTAATTTTGCTAATTTTTCAGAAGTCCCTTTACTTTTTAATAAAGATCTATCATTTTTAGTAGTTTGAAGACCCTCCACACATTTTTCTATAGTGGTTGGCTCATTTTGCAATCTCTACCACCTACCCTTAACTTTGAGTAGATGGCTGTATATCCATATAGAGGAAACAGAGACTTCTTTCAAGCACCTCAGTTAAACCTACAAAATTCACCCTTATGTTGTTTATAGTCCCTTTTCTTTTCTTTCTTTCTTTTTTTTAAGATTTATTTATTTGTGCATACAGAACTGGAGTACAGGCCAGAGGTTCAGGGGCGGCAAGAGGCTTCACCAGATACAGAGTGGTGAGCAGAACAGGCAGATCAACGAAGTACACTGCTGAGGAGAGCAGCGGGTGGGTCAGGAGAGGTCTGCCACTCCATGTGGTCACCTCCTGGGCAGGCGGGAATCGAACTCATGTGGAAGTGGCTTTCGCTTCTCAGTGCTTTAACCTGCTGCGCCACTAGGGAGGGCCAGTCCCTTTTCTTTTAGCAGGAAAAAAAAATCTCTTCCTAGTCAAATATTTTGTTTTGCCTCTGGTTTTCATTCCTGCTGCTTCAGTAAGAACTTTGCTCCAATAGTCAGTCATTTTCTCCCTATCAACATATAGCTCTTAACTGTGGTTGATTGTTAGCAAATATGTGGTTAGAATAAAACCACAGTAGGGGATAAAAAAGTGAATAGTTGGGATTCCCTGGTGGCTTAGTGGTTAATTCTGAGCAATAACACCAAGAAGGCTGAACCCAATGGACTGATTTTGATCCCAGCCAGGGAGGCACAAAAGACTTCTCTTGTATCACCCACTGTTACCTTCAGTAGTTCATTTCAGTAGATCTGCCTGTTCTGATCCCCATTCTGTCTCTGGTGAATCCTTTATCTCTCCTGCACTGCTTACCTACACCCCAGTTCTTCTACACACACACACACACAAAAAGGTAAATAAGATTCATGAGCTTCTCATGGCCATTATTATTCATGGATGTTTCATGATTATATATGGGGATATGGCATTTTATCTACTAGTTGATCCATGCTTGAGATGACCTTTTTGATATATATATTTGACAGTTGTTTTAAACTAGAGCATCTTGATAACACACCCATTCATTATTTGAATTTGGATACAAGGACTGATAGAATGCACATACAAATTAACATTCTCTGTTCATTGAGTTGTAAAATTCAAACAATGATATAGAGAAATAAATAAAAAATAAAACATAGGTAAAAAGATTTTCTAAGTTATGAAAACAGAATAGATGAAATGGAAGAACGAATCAGCACACTCGAAGACACAGAAACAAAGAGAATTAAAAAAGAAAAAGAAAGAGAAGTAAAAAGGAAAAGGAATGAAGAAACACTTCAAGAGCTATCTGACACCATAAGGAAAGGAAATATCAGAGTTATAGTTATCCGAGAAGGCAAAGAGAAAGGCCAAGGAATAGAGAAAATATTCACAGAGATAATAGAAGAGAACATCCCTAATTTGAAGAAGGAGATGAAATTAGACATCCAAGAAGCCAGGTGTACACCAAACTACCATGATGAGAGGAGGAAAACAGCTAGG